GAGTTCGAAACCAGCCTCAGCAAGACCCCGTCTCTACTATAAATAGAAAGAAATTAATTGGCCGACTAATATATATAGAAAAAATTATCCGGGCATGGTGGCACATGCCTGTAGTCCCAAATACTCAGGAGGCTGAGGCAGCAGGATCACTTGAGCCCAGGAGTTTGAGGTTGCTGTGAGCTAGGCTGACGCTACGGCACTCACTCTAGCCTGACAAAAGTGAGATTCTGTCTCCAAAAAAAAAAAAAAAAAGAAAAAGAAAAAGAAAAATGATTGCCTATCAGTAGCATATAAATTCAAAGTCAGGAATGATGGTGATGTCAAACAACCACAGATTGTCCACATGGGTGGTGGAAATAGTGATGCCTTTACTTTCTGATGGTTCAATATACACAAACTTTGTTTCATAACAAAATTATTAAAAATACTGTATAAAATACATTCAGGCTATATGTGTAAGGTGCATATGAAATATAAATGAAATATTTAGTCTTGGATCCCACCCCCAAGATATGTATATGCAAATATTTCAAAATCCACAATAATCCAAAATCCAAAACATTTCTGATCCTAAACCTTTTGAATAAGGGATAGTCAACCTGTATATACATTCCAGAAACGGCAAGACTATAGAGATAGTAAAAACAGCAGTTGTTTCCAGGGGTTAATGGAGAGCGAGGGATGAATACGTGGAGCACAAAAATTTTTTAAAAGGACAGTAAAACTACTCTGTATAATGCTATAATGGTGGATATACATCATTACACATTTGTCCAAATGCATAGAATGTAAAACACCAAGGGCGAACCTTAACATAAACTATGGAATTCAGGTGACAATGATATGTCAATGTAGGTTCATCAGCTGTAAAAAATGTACCACTCTAACACAACATGTAAACAATAAAGGAAACTGGGGGACAGGGGAGGGAGGACATGGAAACTCTTTGTACTTTTTGATCAATTTCTCTGTAAACCTGAAATTGCTTTTAAAAAAAATAAAGACTACTAATGTGAAAAAGAAAATAAAGGTCATTTTTAGAGGATTCTATGAATTAATGGTTCTGAAAATTGTTAAACAAAGAGAAAGATTCAAACATTCGATGTCTTTCCAATACACACTGGAACACTGGAGGATCAAATAACACATAAGCAAGTTTCTCTTTATAGATGTATTTCAGTTATTAGTTCATTAAATATGAAACGTCCAATTTGGAATTAAAAGTGTAGGTTATTATGTCTCAAACAAGAAGCAGTACAATTAATCAAAGTATGCACCTAAACTATCGACACAATTTTGCCATCTAAACGGTAGCTTGTTTATGCCAACAGTGAAGAAGCCTGGAAAGCAAGTGGCAATGAAATCGTGAAAGGTGTTTTCCACAGCTTATTGAGAATTGAGTATTTTTCCTTGCAAGAAGTGGTCCAAAGCCTGGAAGAAGTGGTGGTCAGTTGATGCAAAGTTTGGTGAAAATGGTAGATGACAGAGAGTCTCTAAGTCCGGCTGCTGTAGTTTGAACAGTGCTGTCTGTGCGACCTGTGGTTGACCGTTGTTTTGCAAGATGATTAGACTGTATCTATTGACCAATCTCGGCTGCTTAATTGCAAGCATCCTCATTATTTTGTCCAGCTGGTTGCAGTAGACACCTGATGTAATTTATTAACCAGGTTTCATGAAGCTATAGTGGATAATACCAGCACTGGATCACCAGACACCATTAACTTTGTTTGATGAATATTCGCCTTTGGACTGTGTTTTGGCACTACCGGTACATCTTCATCCAACCATTGTGCCGAACACTTGCAATTGTCAAAAAGAATCCATTTTTCAGCACATGCAATAATACGGTGTAGAAATGGCTCACCTTTATATAGTGACAACAAAGAAAGGCAAGCTTTGAGATGATTTCTCTTTTGATGCTCATTTAATTCACGTGGAACCCATCTATCCAGGTTCTTTACCTTGCCAATTTGTTGCAAATGGTCCAATGTTGTTGGAATAGTAATGTCAAACCTTGCTGCTAATTCACGCCTAGGTTGAGATGGATTTGCTCTCACTACAGCTTTCAGCTCATCATTATCCACCTTGATCTCAGGTCACCCAGGTGGCTCATTTTCAAGAATAAAATCACCAGAACAGAACTTCTCAAACCATCAATGTACTGAGTGTTATTATCCACATCCTTCCCAAACACTTTGTTGATATTTCAAGCTGTCTACGCTGCACTGGTTCCATAACATTAACTCATATTTGAAAAATAACACGAATATTTTATTTATGCATGGTTTCACAAAAATTGTTCCAAACATTTTTTAAAGATAATCATAAGCCAAAATGTGCATTTGAAAGACTGAGGATGTACCTTCATAATAAAAAACAAAACAAGAAGTGTCAAAGTGAAATGTTAGAAATATCAACTGTCAAACTTAGTACTTAAGGAAATCAGACATTTCATACTTAATAACCTAATATTAAGGGAATGATATCTCCACTTTGTATCACCTGATCAATTAATCTGTCTAGGCAATGATCATCAAAATCTGCTAAGAATACACAGAGAGACACAACCAGATGAAAGAATAAAACACCATCTTACAGAAAAAAAGGGAGAGAAGGGGAAGGAGGGAGGGAAAAAGAAAAAAGAAAGAAAAAAGAAAAGACAAACCTCAGTCTAATGAAGACTCTGTAGATCCAACCACCAATTTACAGAAAGGACAAGACATGGTAAATGACGCTATGGCGATGCAATCAGCAAAATTAACATTGTGGGAAACTATAGGACAAATGACCAATCTCTTTAATAAGTAAACTTCAAGGGGAAAAAAGAGGTGTTAAGGAAATCTTTAAATTAAAAGAGACTTATGAGTCCAGCCAATCAAACTTTATTTGATTTTGATTCATATAAACAAACTCAAAATTCAAAAAATTATTAGACAATTGTTAATTTGAATATTGACTAGATATTTGAGGATATTTTAAAAATCATCAAATTTTTATGTGTGATATTGTGGTTGTGTTTAAAAAAAAAAAACTTGTCGAGCTTCACAGATGAAATGATAAAGTACCTGGGATTTAATTCAATATAAAATAGGAACGGGGGAAAGGGGTGGGGGGTATAGATGAAAGAAGATTGGTCATTAGTAGAAAATTGTTGAAACCAGATGGTGGGCATGTGGAAGTTAGCAATAACGAGATTGAGTCACTTGCGTCAAACCCCTAACCAAACTGGGAGTAGGGAAGTCATAAAGAAGAGACCCACATGCTTATATTCTGGAAATACCTACACATCTTGTTTGTATCCTGTACTCAGAATTTATCTCAGGAATTTCCCCAGCCTTCATCCTTTCAGATAAGATGCTCTGACCAGGACAGTTGCCTACCAAGTGTCACCTCCGCCAATGAGCTTTGTTTCAAAACGGACTTCTTCTCTATGTCTTTAAAAACTCCTCTTTGTCCTAATGGTCCTCAGGTATGTGCTTATGATTTTCATGATTTGAACACCCCAAGTTGTAACCCTTTTCTATTCCCCACCCCCAAAATCTTTTGTTCTAGAGAGCCTCTCTCTCTGAGGTTTTAAGTTGACAGGTACATGGGTTCGTTATATTATTGGTTACTTTTGCAAATGTTTGGAATTTTCCAAGGTAAAATTATTTTAAAAAAATAAACAGTATACAATAAAGTGTTTTTATGAAGAAAACCAATGTCTCAACCCTTTTTACAATACAGCTACTTGGGTGGGAATTCTTTTTGATCTCTGCAATTAGTTCAGTTCCTATATCCATTCAATCACCAAGTCCTGTTGATTCTAACTCTTAATTGCCACTTCTTTCCATTTACTTTTGAGATAAATTTGGCCTGTGCAATGTCCTTCTACTTTTGCCTACTGCTAAAACTGTAGCCAGAGTGTTTTTTTTAAAACATAAGTTTGATCATACCAGTCCTTTGTTTAAAATTTACTAATGGCATCTCATTGGTCACAAAATAAAGGCTAAAATATTCAATATGCAGTGAAAGCCCTGCAGAATCTGTTCTGACCCTGTGTTGTATGTTACCAGCTCCCCATGTATGTGTACGTGCTCTTCCTTGCCTTTTCATACTCCAGGTACTTCTGAACTTACCATCCTTACTCTCAACACAGAGCATTCACATATGCGGAATGTCCCCTTTCTCCTTACACCTCATCTTTCAGACCTCACTTTAATTGCCACTCTCTTTGGGTAGCTTTCCCATCATTCTTGGTCTAGGTGAGGTCAAATATCTCACACCTTCATAACAACTTGTCACAACTGAAATTTTTAAATTGTTGAAATTGTTTGTTTAATGTCTATCTTTCCTGCTATGATATAATCTCAAGGAAAGAACTAGGTCTTATTATTGTACCTCCAAAAAGCTTAGCATCTCACCCTGCACATAGTAGAAGGTCAATAAGTCTTTGTTAAACTATAAATGACTGGCTTGATTAATGAATAAATCAATGAATTTGAATATAATACTGGTCAAATCATGAACAGTTATCTGAACCATAATTATAAAATTATAGTTAAACTTAATGGTATCAATCATACCCCCAACAAAATATTGGCAAAGTACAAATTGTAGTAGGTATACAAACAAAAAGAGGGAAAAAGTTACAATGACTTAATTACATATCCAGGTTACAGTCCCTCACTGATACTCCAAAAGTGCTTAATGACAAAAGAATAGGGATGTGTCATAATATATCATTCACCTTTCAAAGGAGGCATACATGTATCCAAATAAAAGTTCTGGTACAAGCCCCAGGGATTCTCTGAAGGAGTAATAAAGACCATATACCCAAAACTTTTACAGTTACTGTATATGCAATTATTTAAAACTGGCTACATATATGGAATGCACACAATCTCTTAACTCATAAAATCGATAAATTTAACTTATTTATCCAAGCAAAATCAAAGCTTAAACATTTTGAAGATTAGACCTTCACAACTTTTTAAATTAATGAGAAAAAAACTACAAACTCCTGAACCAAAATTTTATTGCAAATTATTAGAGTCTTCGTGTGTGTGAAAAATTTTCATGACACATGACATATAAAGATGTTAGCACATTGAACTACAACAGAAAATATTTTTGTACAATTTGTGAAATCACTAATATGCTTATTTCTCCTGTGAATGAATGCAGTTTGCTTAAATCAACTTTGTCATGGTATGTCAAGTAGGTTTAGGATTTTTATATTATTGCTTAACAACCTCCTAATAAGACTTCCAGTTTCTGCTTGACCTACACATAATATTGTTTTCAATGTATTGAATACTGTAGTAGCTTTTTCTCTCATCTCTGGTGGAACATATTTAATATCTAAATATTCATCTAGTTTAGATCTAGAATTATACAGCATGTTAATAACAGTTTCAATGTCATCAATTTCATTACCGGTTTCTCCTGAAAACAAGTGAGAGTTATACATTGTTTTTAATTTATGTTCTGCCGCTGCTGCTAGAGCAAGGCTTCGCTTTAGGTGCTCTTTGGAGGCTTGGATGTCTTCTTTTAATTGTGGATCGCTGGTGTCAGTAAGAAGTGCCTGTTGCACCAGTAAATTAATATCTGAAATTTTTTTCAGAATGTCATCATTATTCAAAGTCTGTGAGTGTTTGTCAAATGTTGGTTCTTCAAGTTTTTCTATTTCAGTTTCGCCTGATAGCTGAGGGACATCTTCTGACTCTGCAGAGATCTCCATCTCAGTGCTTCTACTGAAAGAGGTGAAAGTTGATTTCCTTGTGGTGACCCATGGAGTTGTAAATTTTTTCACAACAGTTGGCAACAATTTTGGTGCCCTAGTATGTTTCACAATCGGCTCTGGCTCTGGCTCTGGCGCTGGCGCTGGCGCTGGCTCTGGCTCTGGCTCTGGCTCTGGCTCTTCATTTTCAATATAAGGTTCTTTTGCATGTAAAACAACAGAAATGTTATTTGGTTTGATCGACCAGAATGCTGTACTTTTAGTGCGTTTTTTCCTCCCTCCTCCTAGTGTGAAGCCGCTAGTAGGGAGGGGTGTAGTTCCTTCACTGATAGGACTGATTATAACAGCATTCTCAGGTGAATTTTCTCCAGGTGTAATTATCTCCTTTAATTTTGAAACCCTCGATCCTATAGAGTAGGCACTTTTTGAAGACTTTGATTTTTTTGCACGGGCTGGTTCCCTAGTGGGAACACTCAGTATTAGGTTCTCTAAAACTTGTACGTAATGATTCAAGTTTTGTTCTTCATCAGGCGACACAGTTATGCCTTAAAGAAAAAAAAACAAATAAATATATAAGTAATATTTATTACTGTATATGACACATTGAGAGAATCTATTGACCTAAATTTATTTCATATGCTATCACTTAAAAATAGGAGATAAAGAACCAAGAAGCAATACACCTCTGACATAGGGTCAATTCTCACTTAAATAAATACAATTATTTTTTCAGGTTCTTATTAAAATAGATTAGCAAAACTAGTGTAAAAGTTGTGTATTAACACAATTCTCCATATTATTTTTCGCTCTTATTTTCCCATATATCTTATGATTCAACAGGCAACTTATTAAACCAAAATTCTTGATTATGTCCTCTAACACACTGGTGTGCTGGAATAGGCTCATACTGGCTCACTAGAGTGATTATTAAATTTTTAGGAATTCCATTAACCAGATGTTGAACACAGATCTCATTAAAAATTATCTAAAGTTGTAAGCAAATCAATTTATATTAAAAACAAAGGTAATAAATATCCCAAACTCATCACATCCTGATTATTTTACTATTGCCTATGCTCTTGAGAGTATTCATATGGAGTGTACATGGATGATGAAGATGCAACACAATGGTGTGCTACTACGCATGTCTTTCTACCTCCCTTTTCAGTGATGTCAAATTGGCAGCTTGAAATCAACTGGTGGGAGTATTTACACCATGTAAATAAGCAAATGCTATAGATCAGGGTTTCCTCCTCTCTACCAAAAGCCAGTTTTAAACATTTACCAGTATACTACTGCCTTCAACATAACAAAGATCAAACTAGTCTGTGGGTCATATTCATTCAACCATTTTTGTAAACAAAATTTTACTAGAACCCAGCCAGACTTGGGTTTATTGGAACCCAATCATTTGTTTATGTATTGTCTATGGGTGCTTTTGGCTGCAACAGTAGAGTAGTTGCAAGAGACCACATGGTATGTAAAGCTAAAAATACTATCTGACCTTTTACAGAAAAAGTTTACCAATTCCTGGTCTAAATCATCAACACTTCACTTTTAACAACAAAATGGCAGTTCTATTTATACTGCTATTTTGCAGCATCTGAGTTGTAAAGCTTCTCATATCCAATGTGGAGACCAGAAAGTATTATTGAATAAGATATTCTGGAATTCTGTTAAATTCTCCTACTCCTGAATCAGGGGTATTTTAAGTATGGGGGGCATTTCGAATCACATGAAATTTTAAATTGATTTTGCCATTATCATGGATACAAAATGATTTAATTCAGGGAAGTAAGTCACTTTTTACCTTTTATCATTCACCTGTATCGTTCACCTATATCATTATCATATAATATGATAATGATATCTCTAATATTAAACTCTAAGGCACACTCCTACCTCTGTAGGCTAAATAAAATAACAACTGTTCAGGAGGTACTTTCATTAGGCTTTTTGGTAAGCACAAAATACTCAAAAATTGCTTTATATTTACATGTTTCTTCTTTCTTCATTAACTATTCTCTTACAACTTAGAAAGACCAGATAGAAGTTTAATCAAAATTAAAAACATATTTCTAAATTTTTAAAAATTCTTTTTTTTTTTTTTTTGAGACAGAGTCTCGCTTTGTTGTCCAGGCTAGAGTGCTGTGGCATCAGCCTAGCTCACAGCAACCTCAAACTCCTGAGCTCAAACGATCCTTCTGCCTCAGCCTCCCGAGTACTGGGACTACAGGCATGCGCCACCATGCCCAGCTAATTTTTTCTATATATATTAGTTGGCCAATTAATTTCTTTATATTTATAGTAAAGATGGGGTCTCGTTCTTGCTCAGGCTGGTTTTGAACTCCTGACCTAGAGCATTCCACTCGCCTCAGCCTCCCAGAGTACTAGGATTACAGGCGTGAGCCACAGCACCCAGCCTTTAAAAATTCTTAAAGAGAACAGTTTAGTGAGGCAGTGTCATGGTGGAAAGTCATGGTGGACTTGTCTGGAGATCTAGATCCTATAAGAAGATTCTGCATTTTATGTCATGCTTATAAAATCCTGTATACTCCAAGATCTATACAATGGATGGTGGGTGAAAATGGAAGATACAGAACATAAAGGTGGATTTTGATATAATCCTTATAATAATTGTTTTAAAATCACTCACATAGTATCATATATTTTGTCTGTGAATTGCAAATGTTTTAATGGACTAAAACCCATATGGGCAATTGCCTCTGAGGAGAGAGAATGGGACTGAATTTGGTCATTAAAGGGACTATAGATTTTATCTATAATGTTTTATTCCCTAAACACACACACAAACACATGCATACCCCCCCCAATCATTTAATACAGTAAACCATTAAAACTTACAATTATTTTTTATTTTTTAATTTCAAGTAGTTTCTTTTTTCCATTGTTTTTAATTTACAAGTAAAAATTACATAAAAGTCACATTTTAGAAAGAAAAATAACTTGTTTATGTATACTCATATTTATGAAATGCATTGTCCTGAATCAGAGTCTTCTTAGAGGAAAATATTGAGTAAAATGAATATGTAGCTTCATGCAGTGAAAATGAAATCTCTGATTCTGGTCCTGGCTCTACCATTTCATAGCATCATGACCTTAGGTCATTACTAAATGTATCTGAACATTTATTTTACTATAAAATTAATATACTATATTTGCCTTTCTATCTCATAGAACCAAATGCATTAGATATTTAAAAACACTTTAAAAGCTATGGAGCACTAATATGATAATATTATTCTCTATAAAGGTAACTGCTTATATTTCTCATTTTAAAATATAAATTTCCCTAAAAAATATCTAGGAAATATAATGTTACCTAAAAATAACATTAAAAGTATGTTTTGGATCTTATTTAGTAAGAAACACTAGAAGTCTTTCTGCTAAAAACAGGAACAAGACAAGGATACCTAAAATCTCCATGACTATTTAACATGATGTTGGAGATACCAATCAATACAATTAGACAAGGGAAAATAATTAGAGACATGAGAATTGGGGAAAAGGGGTAAAACTATCTATATACAGATGATATAATTATAAATCTAGACAATGCAAAAGAAATCTATTGAAGAGTTATTACAATTATAAGAACTTCATAAATAGCAAGTTATAAAAATCAACATACCAAAATCAATATATAAATATAAACTGGTTAGAAGATGTGAGAAATAAGATGACATTTAGATAACAGAAAAAAATGAAACAAAATATCTAATGATAGATTTTTAAAAACATGCCCAAAATCTATATGAGGAATTATAGTAGGCTAAATAATGAACACCCAAAGATATCACCCTAGAACCTATAAATGTTACCTTATAAGGAAAAAAGGTCTTTGCAGATGTGGTTAAATTAAGGATCTTGACATGGGGCAATTATCCTGGATCTGTGGTCCCCAACCCCTGGACCATGGACCAGTACTGTTAGGAACTGGCCACACAACAGGTGAGCAGCGGGCACAAAGGCGAAGCTTTGCCTGTATTTACAGCCACTCCCCAGCTCCCCTTCAACTCATATCACCACCTGAGCTCTGCCTCCACCCCCACCCCCCCACACCCCACCCCCAACCATGCAAAAATTGTCTTCCATGAAACCAGTCCCTGGTGTCAAAAAAGTTGGGGACCACTGCCCTGGATTATCTGGGTAGACTCTAAATCCGATTACAAATATTCTTATAAGAGAGAGAGAGATGTGAGACATGCACAGAAGAGGTAATGTGGAGGGAGGCAGAGATTAGACTTGATGTGGCCACAAGTCAAAGAATGCTAGCAACTGCCAGAAACTGGAAGAGGCAGGGAACATAGTCTTTCCTTGAGCTTCCAGAGGCAGCCAATGCCTTGATTTTGGCTCAGTGAAACTGATTTCAGACTTCTGACCTCTAGAACTGTGAGTGAATAAACTTCTGTTGTTTTAAACCACTAAGTTTGTGGTAATTTGTTATAGCAGTCACAGCAAACTAAACAGAAATATAATAAAATCTTTTGAAAGACATAATGTAAACTTCAGCAAATGGAATGATATGCCATGTTCTCAGACAAGAAAATTCAACATCATAAAGGTGCTTAGATATCATATTCTCACTGTTAATTTATGCATTTAATATGCTCCTAAAATTATCATTAATTTTTTTCTGGAATTAGTAAAATTGATCATGAAGTTCATTTGAAATAAGAACAAAGGCTAGCCCTACTAGATATTAAAATATATTATAACGCCTCTATTACAAAAATAGTATAGCACTTACACATAAATAGATGAATAGAAAAGAACAGAAAATACAGAAGTATACCCAATTGCATATGGATAAACAGCTCAAATGGAAGGAATGTTTCAATTTCAAAACTATTCCAGCTAATAAAGAAGCCATTTATAATTAAACTATGATCATTTTGCAATAATTTTTAATGGCTGCCTATATCATAAAAGAATACCCAATGAGACATTATGTGCTTTCTGATGAAAGAACACAATACCACTTATAAATTAGTCTTGCAAAAATAAATCAAACCTGAATCCAACAGGTCTTCCTAGATCTTACTAGCAATATTCAGAAAACATATAGAACAATAAGGAAAATATTCAACTATGTCATATCTATGTAATTAATGAAATCTAGACTGTGGGAAACTAAAGAATGTGTGACCTAGTTTCTTCAACAATTAAATTGCAAGGAGAAAAACAGAGATGAAAGAAGAACTATAGATTAAAAGGGAAATAACATCTATATCAATAAATTACAAGTATAAATCTTATTTGAATCCCAATTCTGTTAAACAAACTAGAAAAATGACGCTCAAAAAAATTTGAATGCGAAAGGGGGAAAATGGCGGAATAGGGCTGACCTCCTGGCTCTCGGCTCTCAGGGTGAGAGGTGAAGAGGACAGACAACCACACGCAAGTCATCTACACCTACTATGGATTAGCTTCTCAAGACTGCAAAGAGATACTGGGATACAGAAATCGTGGACAATAATCAAAGGTGAACCGAAATTCTTCCACTAAATCTGGGGAGTCGGAA